ATATTTTTACAAGTTTGATCTATTTTAAATTATTTATGATACTAATTTCTGTTCAACAACCGCAGGAGCACAAGAGTTTTTAACTTTCTCACAAGAGTTGAGAGATTTGAACTTACATTCTGGGTTACCATTTTGTTGACAGATCGTTTATCAGTATCAAAAAACGACTTTGATAATGAGGTAGCGTGATTATCCCACCTAACTCAATTTGAAACAAACTACAAACGCTTACATTTCTAAGTGTAAATTTCATTCACACTTATAATTATTGAGGTATCCCACTTTGCAAGCAAATACATTATTAGATGGATGGTTACATTTTTTTTATCAGCTGCAATTTTATGTGATGTAGATTTAACTTTGTCTGAAAGCTTATGTTATATTATTTACTATGTATTTAATTACATAACATACATACAAGTTCCATCACATATATAATTACTAGGGTTTTCAGATTTCGTAGAAGTTAAGGAAAAAACTCAACAAGAGAACTGCCGGTAACAGAGGTTGCAATAAAATGTTCCAGTCAACTAAGAAAGAAATGTTCGAGAAATATCAACATCAAGGTTCGTATATAAGAGCAGCAGCAAAACTTATATTGGTTCAATTAACACGTGGCTCCAATTCCTAAATTGTGGGTTCATGTAAATATCTATGTGGAAACATCAGAGATGCGTTTTCCATCTTTTTTGTGCCGTTCAAGCAAGGAATGGCCTTTTTTGTGGTCATTTTCTTTGACCGGACAACACAGTGCAATTCACCTACTTCTCTTCTCTGGAATTTTGATATTAGGACACGTAAGATGAATATGTTGCAGAATGAAATCTAGGCACTTTGACATGTCTAAACGATTTGTATATATGCTCAATTTTAATATAAAATTTAATGTGAAAGAATAATTTAAATTAATTTTTAAGTAATCAATTATAAAATTTTTATAACTGTTAATTATATTATTAATGCATTATTTCAAATTAGTATATATTTAGTTGCACATTTCTAATTATTAAAAGCACGTAACGTAATGCCCTTGTTGTACAGAGTAATGTTTATTGGCTGAATGTCCGTTCAATGCAAATGAACACATGTTTAAACATGTTTTTAATACGATAAACGTTAACAATATTTTTTATAACACATTATTTATTATTGATTAAAATTTATTAAAATTATAAAATTATATAAATCTTATTATTTCTCATTTTTAAATTAATTATTTTTTCGTTTTTTTGTTTTTAATAAATAATAAAGAATGTATTACTAACAATTTTTTTAATATTATTAAGTAATTTAACAGTGATGGTTAACTGTACTCTAATTATTTAAATATAAAAATAGGTTTAACGTTTGTATGACATGCATGATATGTTCAATAATATTAACAATGTGTCAAGAATGTCAAAATTGTTAAATAGTGAAAAGCATTTATATAACAGGATTATAATTAAATTCAAGATGATTCTTAGTAGTAGCCTATTTAAGGTAACAAGTAATTTGTAATTGACATAAGATTTATGATCATGATCAGTGGTTTGCTCTAAAAATGTTCCTTTTTACAGCAGATTCAAAAGTAATAATGGTAGTAAGGTAATTTGATCGTAGTCGGTCTAGTATTTGATTTTGGATCACATAGCTAACTTCTTTATTTTGGATACATTAACAAAACTTGAGACCTAAGTAATCATTATTTTAAATACACTTAATCATAATTTTTATTTACCATCCATTTTATTCTCCTGTTTATATTACCAATCCTTTTGGCGTTAGTTAGTATCACTGAATGGTACCGAAGTTACTTGGCAAGCATAATGTGCAGTATGACTTTCCTCATAAGCGTAGCTGGAAGAAAAAACAGCAGAGTAGACTTTGATTAAGATATTGGAGGTCACATCCTACTTGTTCTAGCATTTCAATCTAAGGGAAAGTCATCGCCCTTAGTGGCCATAGAATACAAAGTAAATTATGTTCAAGTCAACTCGTTTATGGATTGGAAGTGCTTCAAACATGGCGCATATTGAAAATATAAATAAGACTTTCCGTGTACAAGAAGAATATGTTTACCTTAATTGATTATATTATGTAATCAAAGTACAATTATACATTAATTTATCACAAATATTTAACACTATCCATCTACCACATTTCGGCTTATTTCTTTTTTGCTTTGTTATTGTTATATTATTATTTGTACAAGGATATTTGTCCATTTGATTATTTATTTAATTATTATACTTAACTCTTTCTTTTTTTTTATTTGTTTTCTATCCAATTTTATTTAGATTCAATCTGAGTTGTGCACTTAGATGTAATGAGTGAATTTATAACTGAAAATTCTTTACATACATAAAAATTTGAATCTAAGAGTTTAATTAAGCGATATTGAACCACTTGTTACTCGAATCAATCTCTATTGGTACACTTAACTTTTTATAATAATCATTTATAATTCTTCTTATTCTTGACTTTGACTCTAAGCTCTTATTATTTATTTCATATTTTTAAAAGTTTTAAAATTCTTCATCTAAACTGATAATATATAAATTAAGTGGCAAGTACTCTCAGACCAAAAAAAAAAAGAACACATAGAAACTGGGCCATTTTGGAGCACCACTGTTCTCTGCGAAGATGGAGTTAAGACTTTGCTAAAGAAAAGATTATCCCATCTTGACCAATATGCAGCTCCAACATGGGGGGAGGTTGTCAAGGGAGTCACATAATAAATTAGCTATTCTGATTACACACAAACTTGGCCATAGTGAGGTGCTGAACTTCCATTGGCACAAAGAAGACATAGTTATCGTCGAAGAACAAAATATTACAGGATTATAATTTTGGAAAGTTGTGTTTATCAATATCACTCTTATTGGATGATGCGTCCGTGCGCGTATAGTAAAGCAATGTCATAATAATCATTTCTGGCCCATTTAGGTAGGTATAATGGTTCTAATATGAATTGCTTTCCACCCTCGTGGCATGTATATATATATTGGCACTCATAATTAGACATCCTCTAATGGTGGTCCACTAATTACAAGGATTTTAACTTTGGTATTTCATTAATATTTTGTGCAATTATAACACTTCCTTAGCTTCTGTTTGAGTTATTCTGTATCTTCCTTATGAATTTTACTGTGGAGATTTGTTAACCTAAATATTTAGAATTAAATTTAAGTGTTTAAAAATAGGGTTTTATTAATCAGTATTTTAAAATTGTCGATTAAGAAAAAAAAACTCTTAAAAATGAAATATTTTAAAGATTGTTGAGTGATCAAACTTTAGTTATTGATTTTTAATTAATTATTAAATTAATAAACCTTTTAATTTTGTATTCTTGTCTTGACTCATGTCTAAATTGAGTATATTGATTACAATATATATATATATATATATATATATATATATATATATGTGTGTATGTATGTATTATTCATAACCATTGATTGTTAATAGGATTATAAAACTAAGATAGTTGACAATTGATAAGAAAGCACATAAATATATAAAATATTAATAGTCTCACTTTAAATGCAAGTGAAGCCAGAGGCTTTGGACATTCTATAATTAAAACCCTAGCATACTGTGTGAATTTGGTGGTAATACCAATTAAACCCCCCCATATGACAATGTGACAACTTGCATATTTGAATATATACATTATAAAGAGATAGATATAAGTATTAAAATTTAAACATGTAAAAACATTATCAAGATAATAATAAAATAGAGTTTTATCTTTGAAAGTTTATTTTTGAAAGAAAAAAAAAGAAAGAGACAATACTTCTTTGAATAAATATTTTTAATTTAATATTTTTTAAAATGATAAATTAACATAAATTTAAAGTTTTAATTTTTATTTACTTTCACAAGTAATATGTAACTCTTTCAATTTATATATATATATATATATATATATATATATATATATTGTCTTCTTCGTTTTTTCTTTCTAAAACTCAACGCTATTTTAAAATATCAACACATAATTATTTTGTTGTACTTAAAATAATTTTAATTTTTTAATTTCTATAAATTTATCTTTTAAACATATAATATTTTTATTGATTTTTAAAAATAAAAAAATTGATAGTTATACACATTTTTATATAGAGATAGAAATATTTTTTAAATTAAAAATATCGAGACATTATATAGTTATTAAAATAATGTGTAAGAATTTTTTATATGTTCAAAATTTAATAATCATATTAACATTAAAACTAAAACATTAATAATTATACTTAATAATTAAATTATCACCCCTCGTGAATTTTATATTGCTTATAGTTTTGGAACTGTCTATTACCTGGGCCGCCCAGGATAGTTAGAAACTACAAGCAAGGCCTCTTATTTTGGTCTAAAGCAAGGCCTCTGTAAGTCCATTTTTGCTTAAAGGCCGAATAAGTATATGGCTTTAAATGGGCTGGCCTAAGTTCAACGTCATTGACCCAAAAAAAACGTCTTTGTATTGTTTTGGACAACATTTCAAGGCGTTGTCTTTGGCAGGCTTTGATATGTTAACAATGTTGACATAAAAATAAAAAAGATGTGTTGAAAAACACATTCCTGTCATATTTGATAAGGGAAAATGTATTAATTTTGACAGGATACCCACCGCTCTTTCAAATATCATCTGCAACATTATATATGTAGTAGAATTCTTGGCTAGTTAATCAATACAAGGTTTTTTTCTTAATTTATTTATATACAATAAAGATTGTTTTAAGCTTCCATGTAGACACATTCAATATTACTATAACCCCCAAAACTAAATAGAAGCTTCATGAAGCGAAAATAACTATTTTTTTTTTATTTTCGTTTTTATTTTGGTACCAAAAAAAACTTCATCATTCCAGAGCATCACTATTTTTAGGTCAATAGAGCATCAGTTTATGTTCTCAGTCCATGTAATACCGAGTTCATAGAGTTGATTATGAATCTTGAAGATTTTTCTTTTCTTTTCATATAAATATCAGTAGTTGATTTGAACAATAACATTAGGTAGTTAACATTAACACTAACATTAATTTAACTCAAATCTCACAACAATACTCGTGGGCGAAGTAATCAGCAAATTTACAAATGGTAGATGTGTATTCCTCCCATATTTATTACTACCAGTGAAAATTAACTATTGTAATCCTACATGGTCGAATGCCAAAGAATATTTAGTGCTAGTAATATCTAAAAACAATCTCATACAAAGCTATCTTAATGGGTGATTCAAAATTTAATATGCCAGTACTATACAAATACTGTATATATGGCTACTCTGCTCTAGTTGTTTTGGTCCCTATTGCAGTCTTTGTTTCCAGGCGCCCTCTCTTGAGAGCAGTGAACTTGGCAGCTATGTCATCATAGTCTGGCAACTTGGGATGGACATGATTAGGATGTTGAGAAGGACATGAAAATGTCCGTAACATCTTGTCTTTGCTATTTCTATGCCGCTCTTGGGGCATAGTCATGGCCCTTGAATAGGGAGCTTCTGTTTCTATTCTTGTTAAGGAATCACTAGTCCTTGGATTGGAAACATTGGGGGAAGTATAAATCTCTGCTTTTGTTTCAATGTTTATGTTACTAGCTTGGCAATCTGGGTAGTTAAATACATGATACTCAGCTGCACCACTATAACTCCTCCTATTTGGTCTTTGAGGAATGGTAACCAATTCAATTCCATCATCCCAAAAGGGTTGGCAATGACAACATTCACCATGCAGAACTCCATGCTGAACATGTGTGGCTTCAATCCCTCTCTTTGGATGCATTGATTTAGCCTCCAAATCCAAACAGTCTTTATCATCATAAAGGCAAAAGTAACTAGGCTGGTCCAAGCAGGAGCCACTCATTTTTAAGTTGAAAATTTTTCTCCTTGTGCAATCTTTGCTCTGACATGACTGTAAAACCTTTTCCTTTCCAGAGAAACTATTTAGCATTAGTCTTTTCTTGGCATAACTTGATGGGGGGATTCCTTCTAGGGAAGGCTTATGGTGCTGTCTGTGGTGGTGAGTGCCATGCTTATGAGAAGAGGGACTTCTGCATGGCTTGTTATAATATATCATGTATCCAATATCCATAAGGCCTAAGTTTTCTAAGGAGGATGATCTCCTTCGTAGTCTTTTCAAAGGTGCCCTTTTGCTCTTTCTTGAGGTCCTTGTGCTTGACTTGTCACTCTCGGATTCATCTTGACCCATATCAACATCATCATCATCATAAAGAAATTGAGTTATTTCCCTCCTGGACATACCAGAATATCTGAACTTAAATAGCAGTTGATCCTGGCAGGCACCATCTTTTGGTATAGAAAATTGGCATTCCTTAATGTCTTTCACATAATCTTCCATTTCTTCAGCATAGGAAGGGAAACTTACTCTTTGGGTAGAAGCTGTTACAGCCATGCTTTCCCCCTTCTTTTGCAGATCAATATTTACAGAAGAAAGTAGCTTAGGAAAGTCAATCTCAACTACTTTCTTTTCCAAAGGACATCTCAGGATATATGGGGGATATTGCTGAACCGATGACACCATTGCGGAAGTATAATCAGCAAAACTAGATTCCGGCAGAGAACAAGAGTTAGTTGGTTTGGAAATAGATGAATTAACACATGTGACATCTCTTTTTATCTCTTCAATCTCTGAAGGGTGGACTTTAGATCCTGCCATTGTTTCAATTACTTGGGCATCACTTTCCGCTAGTTGAAACTCTCTGTTTTCATTCAGCTGTACAAAAGCATTCAGCATAATTTGGTATTATTAGTAAATAAGAAGATTATAAGTTCAGTAATAATTTGAAAGTAGTAAAGAATAGTGACCTGCACTTGTTGCCAATCAGGGTAGTATTGTATGGCTAAAACCTGTGGTTGGAGACAGTTGTCCCTCGCTATTTCATCTACCATTTTGTACTTAAGATCATCTGGCACAGACTTAATTGACAAATTCTCTTTTAACTGTGATTTTGAAATTCCATCAACATGCATACATCATTAACGAATATTGGGAATTGCATCAAATGTGAAGTGATTATATTTCATTAGGAAAGAGAAAAAAAAAAAGTACCTGTTTGTTTACAAGATTCCCTCGAAATAACTCCACAGCTGTAGTTGCAAACCTCTCACCATAACGTTTTCCAAAGAGCTTCCTGATGACACATAGCTCAGGAATGTCCCCACATCTTGCAGAAGCAAATATAAGACTAGAAATTGCTTCGTTAATATCATTTGGACAGTCCCTAATTTTGGAAAGTTGAACAATCAGAAAAATTTTGTAGAGTGTGAGGGGGCAGGCAAATTTATTTGATTAAGATAGTAGAAAGCAATTAATACTTGTGCCTCCGGATATAGGAGAGTTGCATAAGGATAAATTCACAGAAGTGATCTAACATTTCATATGCAGCTACTAGGCTTTCATCTTCCATAAGCTGCTCAACCTGAAATTTTGAGAAAAATTTTAGTAAGATTTGAGACTACAGAATGTGAATCTTAATTGAGATATACATTATTAATGGAGATTGGAGAAAATTTTCTAACAGTAATGAGTTAAGTTACTAGGTTGAATACCGATTAATGTATTTTCACTCATATATAGCATAGTGAGTTTTAGACTTCATCTAAAATTTGGTTCAAGTTGTTATCTAGTATATTCATGCTTGTGATTTTAACCTTAAGTTACTATTATTGTGGATGAAAGCATGGTGAATTGTTCATTTGGAAAGGTTCTAATACCACAAACAGGAAGAATTATAAGGCTGAAGTGGTTCTATATCATTCATCAATATCATAAGCTATGTTTTATTTATAAGGTGATTCAGTATATAAATCCTTTACAAATGCTACCTCAATACCAATCCCGAAAAGTCTTTTGAAGTATGCACAAAATCTACAGGTGTTAGACATGCGTACACAAGACATATACATAAAAGTATACTATCAGTAGATTGAGTTTTACAAGGAGAATTTAGCAAAAACAAAGGAGTACAAGACAGAGTAGCATATAGAACAGTTACAGTAGTTGCAACTGTGCAACTTTGTTTATGGAAAACCATCTCCCAATATTCATATTTAATGGAAATAAATCCCCTCTTATTAAAAAAAAAAACATGATATTAAGGGACATAATCAATAAATGAATATGTTATTCATGAGGTGGTGAAGCATTAACAAACCCGGTTAATAGCAGTTTCTTCATGGCCACTTTGTATTAGCTCAGCCAAATCTTTTCGCAGTTGCCTTGCTATTGCCTGCCTCTTGTTCTTGAGTAGCTTGAGCCGACACCGTGCTCTTTTGATCACCTTCTTACTAAAAACCAATAAATCCAAAACAAAAAAACACTTGAACTCATGCATAACTTCTAATCAACATAATCTCAGGTTTTTGATTTACAAGTAGTATTAGTATAGTTACCATTTTGATGCTTTGGACCAACCGAACAATATGTCAAACATATCTAAAACCTGATAGCAGTGTCTGGATTCATTGGAGGGAAAGATAAAAACACAAGCTTTAGAGTAGAAGCATGTTTGCAAATAAAAACAAAGATGTGAAGCTAGATGTTATTAAACCTGATGAAGATGCACTTGGTTGAGGACACACAGTAGTAGTAGTAATGAGAAAAAAGTGAGGGAAGATCATGGAAATAACTAAACCACCACAAATATAGTTGGTGTCTAGTTTTGTGGAGATAATCTAGAAGAGAGTGAATTGAAGAGGTAGACAATGACAAATTAGTGGGACTTTGAGAGAATGAAAAAGGAGACAGTTGTGGTCTCTTTGCTAAACAACTGCTCCAGCCCACTTCACTTTTTGGGACATTTGTCAATTTTACAAATTGTTATAATAACATCCCCCGTGGAAAAAGTAGGATATGATCATCAAATTCTCCGAGTTCATATCCACAATTGCCAGAGCACCTTGAATTAATTACCAACTCACTGAAATTATGAACACCAAGTTATTGTTGTTACTTCAATCTTTGTTACTTCAGCACACAAATGATTAGTATTTTGACACATGATACAAATAAGTACGTGGTTTGAAAATGTGAAATACAAATTAAATTACACAAATTTATAGTATGTGTATATGAATCTATAAAGTATGAAAACATTTGGAAAAGATGCCGTGTACAAATTAAACTTCTATGAAGTGCTTTAAATCGTTTGGTTTGGTATCGAAAGTTCTTCCATTTCGTGCAAAAGCAAAAATGCAAGATCGACGCTTTCATTTGAAAAATCATACTACTTTCCCTTTTCTTTCTAACACAAAATTTGAGTTATTTATATATATATATAATTTTATTTTATTTCTCATCTTTTAAAATTATTTTTTCTTAATTTTCATATTTATAAATCTTATTTTTTAAATTCTGTCAGTAATTAATTATTATTATTATTATTAAGTATTGATAGATTTTATTTTAAAAAAACACATTTGCAAAGATTAAACTTAATAAAAAAATAAAATGGTCAAAATTAAATAATATTATAGTTATAGTCATAAAAAACATATTAAAAAAAATTGGATTGTAGAGTTGGGTCACTTATTTTAAAATGTGATCACCAAGAGTACAGACGGCCCTTAATAATTGATCCCATAAATAATAATTTAATGGATAATTAAAATTGAAGAGCTGAGTTAATGATAAAACACACGTTCCTCTGGGAAAAAGAGGCAAGCACGCGCGGCAAACAGACTGGAACGGTATGATTGAACTGAACCGTAAGACACACGCGCTGACACAGGTAAGCTGTTTTACAGTGAATGACATGACCCAGAGAGGGGGACTTAATTTGTCTGCGCATTCTCTTTCAAAGGTAGGAGTCAGAAGTGAATAAATTCTATGAAAACAACGTAAACAAACGTGGAACTTCAAGAAACCAATCTTAATCTCCCAAAGTTAGCGTTAATTTCAAGCATAACCGATAACCAATTCAACCCACCTCTTCTACTCTTCATTGCAATACGTAATTTGGGACGTTCACCAACTCATGTTACCACATGTGACATGCCCGTGGAGATAAGCATGCTATATTTTTAAAATAAAAGGCTTTCAAATTTTACTATTTTAGTGTCATTCTTCAATGACAAAGGTGAAACGATACAATTATTTTTCTTTTTTATAATTCTAGGCAGCATCTCATGATGCATGTATGATGTTCTTCAGATGCGCTTTAGGTGGTCGTTGTTTACTTGTTATGCGTGTGAGAATCATATGCTATTCTTTTGTGTCCTAGTGTTCTGTGACCCCATTTTTCTTCGTCGTTTACAATATATGGACTCAATAATTGGATAAGGAATAAAATTAGGTTCGAACTTTATGGGTGAAGTGATTTTTCTTTATTTAAATATGAGAGAAAACTTTTTTAATTACCATGGTGCTACCAAGGTTTGAACCAATAATATTTCGTAAACTACCCAAGTTCATCACAATTGGCCCATTTCTAGTAGCTTTAATTGTGAGGGCGAGCTTTATCTATCAAGGTTACATGGTATGCTAGTTCATAAAACACTTAAAAGTTAAAACTATTTTATTCATCTCAACGCGTTAAAATAACGTGGGAGGTGAGAACGTTGATACACATGAATTATTGTGAAAACATTTGTAGCACTAAAAGATGCTTGGAACTGCATCTCATAATTATAGGCATCATAAAAAAAAAAAAGAGAAATTTCATTGAAAGGATTTCAGGGAGTAGAGATGGAAAAATCCTTTGTTGATTTGGTTACCCTGTTTTGTGCAATGGATCTATAATCTTGCTTTATAGGGGGAAAAATTGAAGAAAAATCGTCATGGATGATATCAAAACAAATGAGTATTTACCTGAGAATTAATGAATGAGCATGATTTTTAAGGCCAGTGAAGTACTAATTTGTCTCTCAAAAATTTGAAATTAGCAACATTAATTCGTAAAAGATGAAAATTTTTATTTTTTTATTTAAATAAAACGATTTTGTTGTCATTATGCTTTAGAATATTAATTTGAAACGTAGATAAGTAATAAATTTTTATTAAAAAAACATTTATTAGATTTAAAATATTTTTTGTTATAAGTACTTACTTTTGTAATAACATTTTTAAATCAATATTAAACCTATTGTTAACATTTTTCAAAATAAAAATATCAATCAATTTTTCAATCGTTTTCAAAAACTAAACTAATATGAGAAATAGTATAGGCACACGTATTGTGGGCCAAATATTTGGATTGTAAGTACTGAACAGGTAACAAATTATTTAAATAAGATTAATGTTAAAATATGTCAGATGTTGCAAGTTTTAATGGTGTAGATAGCAAATAGAAATTAACAAAAGCATGCCTACTTAAAAAGATACACAACATGGTGCTTGCTTGCACATATATGTTATTTATGTGCATGAGCACATCTAGTGCTCATAGCATCATTCCTTGATAACTGCAAACTTCTGAAGGGATCTAAAGAAAGACATCATGGATACATAAATATGTTGCTGCTACAAGCATGTTCAAAGTGAATAATTCGCTAAGAGACTGAGCAAATAAGCATGGAAATAGATGACATACAAATGGGATTTGATAAGGACATGCGCATTCTTTGTTTGGTAATGTCAGCTTTGAGCTCTTCATAAACTTTGAGGTGCATGCCTCTAGGCTCCATCTTTAATTTATTGCAAGGATCAAAACAGAAGAAAGTAAATTAAAAATAACAAAGTTAGCAACACACTATCTAACTCATTTTAAAAAAATATTTTTTATTAATTAAAATTTATTTAAAATATATAAATGTTATTTTTAAATTAATTTTTCTCTTTTAGATATTTTTAAAATTTTAAATAAATTTTAATTAATAAAGAATGTATTACTAATCGGACAACATAAAGGTATATGGTTCATTATTGTTTACAAGTCTGAGCCTCGGGTGTTACATGGAGCTGCTGTCACTCTTTTATTAGTAAGGGTCTCACGTTTTTTTTTTTTTTTTATTCAACTGTATTTTTTTTTTTCTTATCCAAAAGCAATTATGGAATAGGTTGTGAGATCCATTTAAGTGACTTTTAAAAGTTCTTAAGTAGAATAAAAAGTTAATTGAATTGCTTAAAGTAATAAAAATAATTTAATATCATGGAAAACTAACTTTTCAGAGTTATTTGATTGGAGATACCCAAAAAGATTATTTTTCTCATCTCTGTTTACACCACAACATTCATTCTTTTCCTCCAATAGCTTCCTCAATTGGTGCTTCTTCACTAATTCTTGGCAGTATCCTCTTTCACTGTGTATGTTTTATTTGTAGAGAAATTATTTTTGAACAACAAAGTCATATATTTTTTTAGAGAAAGATAGAGAAAAACAGGAAAAAAAGAGTGAAAGATAAAATAGGTAATATGATGAAAAGACATAGAGAAAAAAATATCTTAAAAAGTGTTATAAAAATGGATTGTATGAATATTTGTATATCTATGACGCGTCCATGAAGCAGGAAATAAAACAAGTCTTATATTCATAAAATATCTAATTAAGACATAATGTGTGCTTTTCTTTTTATTTTTTAATGAGGCTAGAAAATGGGAGGACTGAGGTCGATTGCGGGGTTTTGGTCGATCTTTGTGACTTAGAAGTTGTAACATACTTGCAACTTGCAAGTTAGTCATAGCAAATTCAGCCAGGAATTCAGGCACATTAGAAAACTTATGAAAAAAAGAAATCAAAATCATAATATTAAAATTATTCAATATAGTATTAGAGTGCAAGAAAGAAGATATCCCCACACACTGAAACCAATTAGCTAGATACTTTTCGTACGGAATGAGCTAAACTAAATTATATACGTAGATAATTTAATGAGAAATTTGTCTCTCTTCTCTCTGACTATCTCAATATTTCTGCATTGGTTTGTTTCCTTGTATCAGAATCCATATATGCCTCAAATGATAAGGCATTTGAGATTTTCTCATGCTTTAAATGCCGCTAGAAAATTCTCACCATTAACCCTCCTTACTTTAATGTAAAAGAACTTACCAAACGTAGCTACTTTTGTCATAAATGTATTTCCCGTGTGTTATGACTTCTCTTTGCAAATGAAAACTGAAGCACCAAGGACACATAAGATAAACAACAATATCCCCATAATGGAAGCACCAATTGCAATTTCCTCTGCCTTCCACTTCTTCAATAGCCAACAATATACACAAACCAAGTTAACAAGATTTTAAAACTCAATTTCATAGGTGAAATCCTTGCTCAAAATAGAAGGAGTTTTGTTGGGTTCCAACTGATCAATAACCAACGAACAATTCACATAAACCACAAATTTCCTAAGATGAACCATGTCATCAACCACAACCCTTATGGGAAGCTTCACTGTTATTAATAAAGGAATATTCTTTGCCTTCTGGTCATTCATAAGGTTATGTTGCATTTCAGAATCAAAATCACTCTCCCCCTTCAATTCCACATTAACCGTGGTTGTGTTCTTCCCCGGTTGCAAGAAAGGAGGAAACCCCCCCTCACAAAGTTGAGACCCTGAATACATTAACCTAACTTCATTATCCAAATAATCCAACTCAAACTCTTCATTTGGATTCTCCGCTTTCACAACAACGGCAATATCAGAATATATCTTATTGTTCTTTCGGAAATCAAAACCTTTTACATTAATACTATCAATGTTGTAGGAAGGTATGTGAGGCTTAAGAAGGTAAAATAAAGCTACAGCAATAACCACAAGAAGAATAATTAAGATCAAGATTGTGCAAATACAACAACGGCAACAACTATAGAAGCAACAACAACACCACCTTAGGCACCCGCATCCACTAGAGCCATGGTGGCGATGGTAACGTGGAACCTTACGGCCATAAGGAGGAGGCCCCGCATAGCCTTGGTTCTCTAGGGTGACGTATGCATTTGATTTCATGATGAATGGTGGTGATTAACCCTTTGAGATTGTGGGCATATTTCATTCTAGGACAATAGAGTAGTAAAGAAAATTTTATTTCTCCTCTCCTTGTCCATGATCTTTTCGATAGAAAGAAGCTACAATTTTCTGTTAGAACCTTCCATTGATTAAGGATTTTGTTTCGTATGAATGGACGCGGTTTTCTAACCAGCTTTTGTGAGGCTCAAACTGGTTCCTTCAGTTTTTATTTCCCTCCTAAATTTAGGCACTGTTTAATTAAAGTTGCATTTGCTTGCTGATCTTAAATTATAATCATGAGCTGGGAACAATTAAAATTTAGACATTTCATTCAGTTTCATTATTTGTTTCTTTTCTTCTTCTTTTTTTTGGTTGAAATCGCTATCTTTACTTGATATGATAGTTATAGTCACCAAGTTAAAGTTGATACATGGTTCATTTGTTAACTACGCTTAAGGACATCATATTCCAACAATCTGGTATCGAAATACAAAATAGAGTAAGATTAAACTGATTAAGCATTATATTCTATACAGAAAAAACGATATTGTGACACCCATTTTCCAATATCAACCACGCAGTAAGAGTAGTAAAAAACAATAAGGAAACAAACTAAACACAGGAAAGATGTCTCCAAATCTTCACGAGTTGGTGGATCTAAAAGAACCTGCAGTTTGCATGAGCTTCAAGAAGGAGGCTACAAATTTCTTGAGCTTGAGAGCTACCCTTTTGAGCTTACGTGAGTTGGGTTGTGGAGAAAAGGAATCAAGAGAAGATAACTTGTAGGTAGTGAGGAAGATCTTCCTTTGTTTGGCTCTTCTGCGTCTGTAGCTAATAGACTTTAAGAATTTCTCTCTGCCACTGCCACTTGCAAATGCAGGTGAAGTGAGAGGCTCATATTTGTATTTGCGGCTGCGAGAGAGGGTGGTGTTGCGGATAAGGGTGGCCATGGTGGCTAGTAACTCCGAGTCTCAACACTCATTACTTTGCTACAAAACACAACTTTACGGTTAAAGTTTATCATCGTCGTCATCGTACGTTGTCTCATTTTATTGTTCTGTCCCTACACTTCGGATTGTTGGGTGTAGGCTTCGACACTAGTTAGTTGTCCATCATTTCATTCTATTTTCTACCTGTGGGTGCATTTATAATTTATAATTTCAAAATTTTAAAGATTTTTATTTGAAAAGTTTGGTGTCAAAAATCATTTTGGTCTTCGTCGATTTGAATTGAGTTAGGTAGAGTTGTTTAAGGGATTCTCTTTTTTCAATATCTATCCTTTTTTAAGACAAAAAATTATTTAAAGAAATCGATTAACGTACATTTTTTAAATGTTTGTCATGATTCTATTTATACTATCTTGCCTATATACTTTTTTAAGTAAAGATAATTTTTAAAAAAAAAGTTAACTTTATTTTTTACTTGATTCAATAAGAATCAATGTGAAAAGATAAAAAAACTAATCTATTCATGTGAGAAAATACTAATATATGTGTGTATAACTATTTAGTGTATTGTATATTTTTATGGATGTTAACATCAGTACATAGAGTTTTTTAAGATGTTGTTTAAAAAGGTTAGTATTACTTGCAAAGTAAAGTCAAATTTGTATAAATTTAAGGTTTAATAGTAGTTTTGGTCGATCTCTTCATTATGATTAATATATGATTTTAGTCTCTTAATGATATTTACCACACAGATTTCTTTTTTGTTCAACACGGCTTTTTTGTTTTTGGTCCAAGACGGATTTTCTTAGATTTGTTGGGCCAGCCCATCATTAAGCTTGGGCCTTAGACGAACCTTCTGTGCTAAAAAAATGTACGGCCAAATCGGAAATTTCTTTTAGGTGCTTTTCAAGTATATATTTTATATTTTTAAGGTAAGACAATTTATTTTTTATTAGTGGACAAAAAAAGTATATATTTATTGTTTTTGGGTTAGACATATTGTATGTACGTATAGTTATTTATTTATTTGATGTAAACTTTTTTCTAATGTCTAATTTAATATTTTTAAAACTTTATCCTAATCCAAAAGCCTATTTATACGTCAACCTTTTTTAAGTCTTTAAATATTTTTATTTTAAATGTATATTTAAAAAATAATACTAAAATAAAAAAATAATAATAATAAATTTATTTTAAATATATTTTATATTATTTAATACAAATGTTATGAGTTTTAGTTTTTATTCATGGAAAAATTTTATTTTGTTCTTAGTTTTTACATTGAACAAAAATGTCATGATTTTAGTTTCTTTTCGAAGACTAAAAACATATGATTGAATAATTTTTAGAGAATAGAAATTAATAAAAAATTTATAAGTATTAAAATAAATAATATAATTTTTTTAAAGATTAAAAAATTTATTTAAGTCTAAACTATTTATAATTATTTGACCATTAAACCCAAAATATTTTTAAATGATTTAAATTTTATTTTTTCACTAAATATATTTTTAAAATATTCTTATTTAGTAAATAAGCTTAACCTAATATAAATTTAATGTAAGCTAAATAAAAAAATATTAACTTAATTTTTGTATCCTTAATTGAGGTCCTCTTCCACCATTGGTTAATTATGTATGAGTATAAATCTTGGTACGGTAATACCCAACCTATTCCTCCTCCCACACAAACAATTAGATATTTATATTTTATGATTATGATTTGAAAGATCTTTGAATTTTTTTTTATTCGGGCTAAATGTTAATTTCATTTTTAACTAATGCATTTTTTATTATCTTTTCATAATTAATTTTATATTTAATATACTTTAGTAACTCTATTACAATTAATGTGATATTTTAATTCTCTAATAAACTTCACTCGAATTTAATCTCTTAATCTTTTTTAATTGTTACTAGTCAGTTCTTCTATATATCTACATCTCATAAAAAAATTCTGAAAATTTTCATTGGTTGAAGCATAAATTATTCAAAATCCTTTTTAGTTACTTGTGAAGTTAAACTATCATATTTCACTCTAAATAAAAAAAAATCAGAATTTTTTAAACCCTAAATTCACATCATATATTTAAAAAACGCACCAAAGTTTTAATTTTTGAGCCTTTAAATGAAATCATTTCTCATCATAAATTTGTCTAAATTGCTTATTACTTGACTTAAAAATAATTATATAAGAATTTAATGTAGAGAGAAACTAATGGAAGGACTCAATTACAGTAATTTAAGAAATTAAGTGACTAAATTTGAATTATTTGTATAAACGATCTAAAAGACAACTAAACCTTAAATTTAATAGTGAAATAATACTTTTATTTAATTAATTTTTTTAAGAAACATTAAAATAGTCTATTTAACTAAAGTATGAATAATAATTAAAAGTGTAGATATATTCATATCCATTAAGATATGCGCATGAATAGCAATGATTCTATCCGTCTAAAGAAACATTTGAGTATGGACGTCTCTGAAATATGAATACGAACACAAATGTTATTAGCTATTCCCCTGTCCAAATCCTACGTATTCTCGTTGCTACCTCTAAACCCATGAATGCTTGGGAAGGGAAGGGTATTGATGGTATTCACATCAGAGCCTCGGGTACTAAATTTATTAGCCCAACTCAATGCCACATTGCCACACGAACATTAATTAAATAGTAAAATGCAATATAAAGCAAAGTGAAGTGCAAACTGAGGCTGCATTTATGCTACCAAACAATACTTGTGCTGATGAAGCAAGGCTCGACAGTACTCACGTTAAAGAAGCACTTTTAACTCTTTCGTTTTAAATTCTTACAACTTCTCATTCTTCCATGGCACAACAAATGCTCGAGCAATCCTGTGACTAAGTGTGTGCAATCTCTTTCATGTGACCTCCTCTTATCACACTCTCCCTTGCCTGTGAACTGCTTCAATTCCATTATATCTCTTTCGATACCCCTTTTCTGTTTATATATATATATATACTTCTCTTTCCTTCACCATTCACCATTCACCATTCAAGTTTATTACATATCTTAAATATATTAAGACCATCTCTGGTGCAACTCTCAGAAATTGCGAGAAAATAATAATGCGGAGGAGTTCTGTCTATGCTTCTGCATTTGTCTTTTTTCTTTATGTTCCACTTATCATCTCAGCAAGGCACATAAACCGGTCACATTCGCGTAAGTTTTCAATTCTAAATTTCAGATCACTAATATTTATTGTTATTCTCTTATTAATCCCTTTTTTATATAAAATGTTTGTATTATTTAAGTAGTTTAAGAAAACAAAAAAATCATTAATAAAAGATAAATTAGTAAGTTTTGATATTAATTTTAATAAAATAATTAGATTAATTGATCTGTGTATTTTTTTTATGGACAAAAAAATAAGAATGGGAGAACGGGAGTAGTACTATATAGTTGATATAGTCATATTTCTTTTACGTACGTAGTCATCCACGCACCTAAACTATGTATGCTCGTTTTAATTTTTCTTAGATATATAATGAAAATTGAAAAAAGGTGCTATGTGTTAAACGTGGTTGTGGTAATTTTCATGTTAAGTAGGACAAGGCCATCCAGATCTTGCACAGGAAAATACAAGGGATGGAAGCAAAATGGCAAAACAAGGCTTGCGTTGGGAAGGAAGAGCAACAAAAAAACATATACGGGGCCCCGACACACTACAAGTAGCCGGGTCCAGGTTACCCGATTGCTCACATGCGTGTGGATCATGCTCTCCATGCAGATTGGTGATGGTGAGCTTCGTTTGTGCGTCCCTTGCAGAGGCTGAGTCATGTCCAATGGCCTACAAGTGCATGTGCCACAACAAGTCCTATCCTGTTCCATAGACTATAACATAGATTTTCTGTTTAATTTCAATTTTCAAGCTTCAATTTCTGACCCGTGTAACATATACATAGTGCCCATTTTCCTGGCTTTAAAACTTACTATTTTTCTTTCCTTTATATGTTGTTCTTTTTGTGTGTGTGTGCGCGCGCGCGCTCGCCAAGTTCTATATGTTGTTCAACACATAAACATCCGTAGCTATAAACATGGCTCATGTTAGTTTTTGTCCAGTGCTTGTTTGTTGTCAAAACACGAAACATGGGATTCACGGCCTCAAACTTGTTGGGCTGTGAATTCCGCAATACATCCAGCTACAATGAAAGCCCAATGCAAAATAAGAATTTTGGTATTAGAAATTTGTAATAATGTTAGAACTTTTAAATAGATAAGTAAAATAATATTTATAACAATTAAGATTTGGTAATACATTTTTTTTAAAGTAATATTTTGTCTCTTTTTTACCACAAAATTTGTTATTGAAATACGAAAAAAATTGACAATAATAATTTGCGATATATAAATTAACATCTAATAAGAATATAAAATAAATTTTATTTTGTGTTGTTAGTGTTTAAAAAAAAATAGTTTTATAAATATTTTTTTTACTTTAATGTGTATTTTATTAGTATATTAGAACTAAAATTTTTATCAATATTCATAATAGAATATCTTTAAAAAATCATAAAATATAACTATTTAATAGTTACTATTAAAAAAATTATCTAATAATTATCTTAAAAATTTAAGAAATACAAACATTAAATTTTTTTTACTTACTTTTAATATCAAATACTATGTTCTAATGAAATTAATTATATAATAATTGATTAAAATCATAAGACGATGTAAAAATAATCTAAAATTTCATCAAATAATACTGCTGCTTGTTACTCAACATCAACATTATTATATGCACAAACCTCACGATGGCTTTCCCATTCCTCGTATCCTTAATGATTCCCCCAAAAAAAGGATTGACATCTCGTGAGAACGAGGACTGACAAACATCATGGTTGATTGGATTCATTGACCAGAAAACTAGTCTACTTTTTGGAGATGATGGTTGTATATTGTTGAGTCAGACCACTTGTAATCCTCATGGTATGGCACACACAAAGCAAGTGGAGAAAGTTTTACAATACGTGGGGCCCGCTTTGCTTGCTATATAAGAATTATGATATCACAATTTATAGCATGCTTTTAACCCTTTTTTAAAATTTTTATGGTGTTTTTTTTAAATTAAATGGATATTCTGTTTTTCTACATAAAATAATCATAATTGTTAATATTATATTAAATATATATAATAAATAGTGTAAATCAGTGATTTATATTAACGTTATTAATTTGTGACTCTTGAAAAAGTTAATTTTTTTATTTAAAAAAAAATTAAAAATGCACGATGAATTGTTAAGATCAACACTGTACCCAGTGGAATTTCCACTTAGAGGATCCTATCTTTAGCAGAAATGTTATTTACGACTATGGAAGCTATAACCACAAATTAAGGGCATTTTCTATGCCCATCGTGAAGTTTTCCAGCTAGCAAAAAACAAAGAAAGGTTGCATTAATCTGTAGGTCAATTTTATCTTTTTAAAAAACTTTAGATAACCTATGGTTTGGGAGAACAGAAAGCAAGGTTTCCCTCCTCTTCGAGACCTAAAAATGGGCACTTGAGATGGAGACAAAGGAGAATAAATTTGAGAATTCACGGTAAGATTTTAATATGAAATCTCCTCAATGTTTAAAGGGGGGAAAAACGTCCAGAAAAAATTTAGAAGCCGACATTCAACTCCTTAAATTAGAACAACAATTAGGGGGAAATCCCAACATTTATATATAATTTAACAGCTATAATATAGTTTCAACAGTTAGGTACAAAAGCATGCTTGATGGAGTCCCTAAATCCGAACTGTAGTCAAGTCCCAAAGAACAAGCACTTGAATAGACTTTTGAAATCAGCTATATACATGATTTATTTATATGTAAGTTTTGGGGAAAAAAAACTATTAACAAGTTTATTTAATAATAAAAAAAAGAAAAATACATGATCGGATAAATGATATAATAAAGAGAGAGAGAGAGAAAAAAAATTATGCAAATTAAAAGATATGCATAATACTATTCATAAAACATGGTATAAAATATATTTAAAATAATTGAAATAAATGGAGATATAAATAAAGCAATGGTTAGGGCAACTTTTTTTTTTCACATCTCTACATAAAATATAAAATAGATGAAAAGATGGGAAAATACAAGATGTGATATACAAAGTTATGGAAAGTGAAAAGAACTAGTAAATACAAAATATTCAAAAGGTTTTGTAATAATAATTTAATTTTTATAACTAGTTCAAGGTATTCAAATTTTTACTTATACTATTTAATACTGTATTTAGCCTTGAAAATAAACATATTTGATCAAAATAAACCTATTTCTTACATAAAACTATAAAACTTATTACTTATTTTCCAAAAAAATATAAAAAATATATAGTAAAAATATAATGTATTTTTTAATTAGTATTGTTTTGGCACTCATTTAGAAGATAAGAAGATTTATAGAAAAAAAAATTAGCTCCATTAATTATTATGTTTGAAGATTTAAGGGATGAATAGAAATTAATACGTAGAAGCTTATAAATTCAACTAATATAACAGAAAAGAATTTTTTTATACTGGTGTAACTTAAATAAAAAGTTGAAATTGAACAAAAGATTTTAGATTTATACTAACTAAATCAACGTGAGAAGATAATATCTAATACATCTATTATGATTTAAAAAGATTTAATCAAACATTACTTTTAATGGTTAGAGAAATTAGAAAAGCAAGATTTGAATTGCTCCGGGCATCGTTGTTTGTGGCCACCTTTACTTCTCGGCATTAAGCTGCATCACATCCAAATTTAAGAACAATTAACACCTTTTTTATTTTTTATTCTTATTTTTTTGGGGTCAACAGACCTATTTGATTGAATTAGCGATAGCGAGTTATATAAATAGACGGGGCTTGTGGCGACCATAATATCTATTATCATTCTTTTTCACTATAATCTCTCTAATTAATAAATCCACAAAACACACCCATCTTTCATAAATTAATTAATCTGATTTAATTTGTTGTAAATTCATATCCGGGTTGATTATATCATGACCGGCATCAAAAGTACAGAAGAGATGTTAACATCGAGTTAGTTCAGCTTGCAGAATGTTCAAACTTAACTTGTTTTTTTCTTATTCTTCTTCGAAGGATCCTTTGTTATACTCGGTCTCGCAAAATGTCTTTTTCTTCTTTTAAAAGAAAAAATTGATTATTCATTCCTGTGTCGTCCATGATTTTGCTATTTTTATTTTTTTTTAAAATCATGGTGGCCAAGATCAATGTATTATACTATTGTTTGTGAGTTAATGTCAATTCGTATGCTTGGAATCGCATAAAATAATATCTGAAATCTTCCATAGCGCAAGATCTTCTAGTTGTCCCTTCTCTCTTAGAACAGGTAAAATGAAAGTGAATTTGTCAATTGATTCAAGAGGTAAAATGGAGAAAAAACTGAACTCATGGTGACGCACAATGGGCCCTCTGTTTTTCCCTTTTTCTTCACGATGGCTCTCATTAAAAGCAACAGTTTAGAATGGGTATAAAATTTGAACAACTGTATGACTAACAAGCAGGTTTAGAAAGAAAGAAAAAAAAGTGATCTAAAACCATCTAAAAGACATGTAACCCATCTGATTGTGTAAGTGATTATTACTATTCCATGTAACCTCTTTATTAGAAGAGGCAAAAAAGACAATGCATTTTTTTTAAAGTTAGACATTGCTAATCATCTTGATCTAAGATATCACAGTACTTACTTGGATAAACAAAAGAAGGTGCATCTATAAGAAAAAAAAAAACTTGAATAATTAGCAAAAACTGAAAAAGTAATAGAAATGGCTATAGGTCCCTCTATTTCCTACAAGAAATAGACACAATCTTGGCGATTGAAAATTTATCAAAATCTCATTTAAATCGTTTAGAACATTTACATTAACCATTTGCTCCAGAGCATAATAGTACATATATTAGGTGAGGATATTTATTTTTATTGTTTACTTATTTGATAACCACACATATATTTACGGGTTAAGCTCAGCCACCTGTGGTGCCTGACAGCAAGAGCAATATTGAAGATGGATGAATATGGAAATAATCCAAGATACACTCCATCAAAGTGAACCAGCCGTCCATCCCTAATTGCATACCTTCTTTTTCTTTCTCTTTATTAAAGGAGTGCGCACAACAACAAAAATAATGAAATGCCATTGGTCATGAGGGATGGTTAGCCATTGCAAGCATCATTTGCCGGTGGGAATTGGTAAGATAACACGCAAAGAAAATTTGAGAAAAATGTGCAATCTACTTCCACATCATTCATCCCATCAATTAATTAACCATTATGATCAATGGCAAGTGACACACTATATAGTCTCACCTCTGTCTCTCTGACCTCCCTCACCTATCTCTTTACATACAATTACCTCTTCAAGTCAATTCACAAGTCACCCTTTTTGCTTCGAATCTAAAAGCGTTGGTCCTAAAACTCTCTCAAGTGTTAAATATCAACAACAACGTACATATCCTCATTCCTCACACTCACTCAAGGAAGGTAAAAAAAAAGTGCAATTAATGGTCCAAGAAAGTGCATAAAAACCAAACATCCGAGAAAAGGAGGATTTTTAGCTATGCAAGTGCGAACTCTTTGTAGAGTAGTGGATTGATCCTTTTAGCCATGCCTAATGCCCGTGAAGTAATTAAAGTCATGATGTTGGACCCTAAGTTGCTTCAACCATGAATCTGCCACACTTAATAGTGACAAAAGCCTTTCTTGGTCCCGACCACAATTGCCTGCAACCCACACATTCCCTCCTTGCATCTTGTAAGTTGCCAAACCAAATGCTGGCAGGGAAATGCCTTCTCCTTGCTTTTTCTTCTCGTGGCCACCCTCAATATCATCGTCAAGATCCATGCCTGCATAAATACCAAAACAAAAATTCCATCATCTCTAAAAAATTTATATCTGACAAAACTTAGATGCAGTATCAGAAGTATTCAGTGTTATTCACTAAACAAGATTGGTATCTGTGAATTAAAGAATTATTGCGATGGAACTCCAATCTTAATCAGAGAATAATACCAAAAGGAGCTATCCTATGGTACTTAAGTATTGTCCATTTGGGTCTCTCTTCAAATAAAATTTCACGGACCTCTTGCTTCCCCACCATAAATAGGGAAAGTGAGAGTACATAATCAAAGGAGTAAATCATGATATGAAATACTAGTACCTTGAAATGAAGATGAAAGCGTGTGGTAAGTGAGGAAACATGTGGAAAGGTCTTTAATTGTTCTTCCCATTGGGATATGATATATAGGGTACCTGAGAAAAAAGTATCTTAGGATGAGTTTCAAATGTATTTAAGCACTTGGACTGACTACATTTTCGGTGAGGAAATAGAAAATAAATCATGTTCAATAAGTAGCTATGGGGGATGAGACAAAATTAATTACCACGCAACGGCCATCCAACTTGCTGGTGAAAGATCTACGCTTCTTAATGACATCAACCCTGGGTATCTTTGAGCTAAACCAGTAACCTGAAAGTCAGAAACCATCCCAGCAAGTCATAAATCGAATCTTTATACTTTTATACATTACTCGTTATGCTAGTCGAATATTTTAGTTTTTTTTACAACAATCGCTAAATCCAAACAATGAAAACTACATACATCAATAAAGCTTTGGAAAAAAGAACATATGCTTGACACGCATAACAATTACATTGATAAGAAATAAAGAAAAGGGAATATGCATAATTTCCATTAACCCTTGGGCATATTCACTGGAAAAAAAACGAGTCTCTATACTAATGTTGAAAAGTCAAAAAGTTAGCATTTATCCTTAAGGGTTTTTGGAAATTACAACTATCCCTCGAGTACTTTCCCAATTTCTATGCCCAATGAATTGGTTAGGAATTGGGATCTCATTTAAGAACACAAAAAGCAGAACATAGATATAGATTAAGTGCTATTCAAGGTAACAAATAACAGAACAGAAAAGATGCTGAAATAAGATAAGGCCCCAGAAAAACAAGGCAACACACCTTATCCATGAGAGGAACTCTTCCATATGGAGTTGCTCTTTCAAAATACTGGCAATAGAGGTGACCCAATCTATCATTCAAATGCCAGAGACAGTCTTGCTCAGACCCTCCTTCTTCTGAGGAAGTTCCATCCCACCTCCATAACTTATCACACTCACTCTCATCACTGAAAGAATCACTATAGGAATCCCTTGTCTCACAGTCACCAGACTCAGTCTCTTCCCTGAAAAATACTCATCAAAATTTATGCATTAAGTTCTGTTCGACTCGCAACACCTATTCAATCCCATAGGCGAATTAAGCTACCAAAACATAATTCACAAAACCGCAAAACAAGAGAAGGCTCAACAACCCATCTTTCAAAAGCAACATCATGAAATCCGCGTGAATGTTTGACCATAAGAAACATTATCTGCCAGCAAAAATAAAAAGAAAAAAAGAATCCCCAGTGGGATTTAATTTCATTTAAATTTCAAAAATCTACTAGTCACGAGACATGTTGGGGACACCAATGAAAGCAAAAAGCTTTTAAGTTGAACTGTGTTGTTACAAGATGGAAGTCCAATTGGTCAAAAATTACAATGATCCAACTCCAACCCCCCCAACCATGTTGATACATAGAAATGCATGTGCATACATACATACATACCTGAAACTATTGCTGGTGAATATCTGAATTGCGGAGAGATAGGGCACATAGTACTGCACAAGTGTCTCCCCACTGGTCAAGGAGATGGGAACTCCTGCTCCATAAGCACTCCATTCATCATAGCAATTCCATAGATCACCCAAGGTGAAATATTCCACTGTTTCTCTTTCCCACGGATGCCACAAACGGTTCAGGTTTTTAATCTCGGACTGCACATATAAACAGACAACACAAAACATAATAAAATTATGACAACAGATTTTATGATCACAAGGAAGAAAAGAATGGACAAGGAAAAGACAAGACCTTAGGAAGAAACTGAGATTGAACCACAGGTGTGGTACTCCGTACGAAACAGTCAAGGTTAGAATGCATTGACCCTTTATTAAAAATCATGATGTTGGGAGAGAGAGAAAGAGAGAGAGATAGAGAGAAAGAGAGAGAGAGAGAGAAGGGAGGGAAGATGGAGTTGTCAGCTTCTCTCCCAACCCTGAAATCAGAGGGAACGACAAAGATGAGGAAGAAAACAAAAACAAGAGGAAAGAGAGATATTGTGGGGATTGCAATTTTTGTGAAAGAGAAAGAAAATGCAAATAATCTCCACAATGAAGGACTTCTATTTTTTGACGTTCAGACCCCGAATTTCCCGCAAAATCTCAATCCACCTCTTTATTTATCTTTCCATGTCTTTTTTTCCTTTTTTCTCTCCGTAATCTCTCTCTTTTTTTCAACCTCTTTGCCAACAATGTTGTAATTTCAACACCTTCAGAGATTCTTAGGCAAACAATGCCACACCTTTTTCTCTCTCTCTTTCAATCGCTATTAAACTAAGCCTTGAAGAAAACTCAAGCCAAGTCTCCTTTGTTCAACGTTTAAGAAACACCCTTCAACCTTAAATCTTGAGATTAAATCAAACCAGCCAAACAAGGCCACATAGTCACGTTACAAAACAAGAGAAAAGAAGGGAGAATGAAAATTTTCCTCTGGGTTTGAATGATTAAAAGGAGTTGGTGCTGAACTGAAAAAGCAACAAACTTTACCGGGAAAGTGGCACAAAAACTGAACAAAACAAATGAGGGTGGGACAAGGTCAGAAAGTGAATGTATCAGAAATATCCAAACAGAACAAAAGAAGAACTCAATGGTTTCCAGAAGCTGCGAAATCTGATGAAGTGATAACTGAGTGGCGCAGAGGAGATAGATTGATAGATGGAGCTTATGGATTGGATACACAGCAATAATTAAAGCATCAGAATACAAAATTTATATCATTTATGAGATTCATCTCTCTCTCCCAATAGTATCAGTCTATGAAACACTTTATACACAATACGTATAATATATAATATGTTTTCTTCTTTGTTTTTTCTTTATTTTTAAGTTTTATGATTTTTTTATGGAACAAGGTTTGTTACCATTCCCCAACCCCGTAGCTATCATCTTTGAAACTTCGTTGGTTTCGTTCATAGTTTTAAATTTAACAGCTAATATTCTTCGTCAGAGAAACAAAGCGGGTTTATATTTACATATAAAAAATCAAAATACAACAGATTCTTTTTTATTATTATTCTTTTGGGGTTAAAGGGGAGAAGTATGACCACAAAAAAAAAAAAGAGAGAGGAAAAAGTATAAATGGGGAAAGAGAAAACAAGAAATGGTATAAGAATTGACTACTCTTTGTTTTACTAAATATTGTACATAATTATGCGTGTGCCATACATAAACTTAAAGTGTTTTAGATTAAACAACTGAATTAAAAAAAATCTTGAAAACTGCCAAGCTTAAGGTTCTCTCTTCTTTTCTATTTTTTTGAAGGTTTATAATTAAAACTGATTACGTTTCGGGTTTTAATGTAAGTTAAAGTAACACTCTTTCTTCGTCCGTTAACTTTGATGAAAGTATTATGTGACTCCCAAGTAAGTTCTGAAAACTGCTTTACTGTTCTCTTAATGCGTAATAAAATTTTATGGTAATAATAATAATAATATACACAAATGTTAAAAATACACCAATTTAACTGTTAAGGGGAAATTTGTTTTTAAAAAATGTTTTAAATTATAAAAATATCATATTATTTTTATTTTCTAATTTGTTTTTAAAAAATTACATAAGAAAACGTTAAAATAATTTAAAAAATATTTTCACTATTTTGTATATGAACTTTTAAAAATAAAAAAAAAGACATTTTTATAATAAAAAATAATTTTTTTAATTTTCAAAGTAAACAAAATTTGTTTTCAATAATTCATGGTTTCTCATGCTTATTGCTCTCGGTAAAAGCCTGATTTCAGTAAGTTTTGCACATCTTTGAGGATTAGACTAATTGTCTCATATTGGCGTTAACTTTATTTAATTATAAGACATGTTTTAATTTATTTGGGTTTCAACAATGATGACAATCTTCATAATTAATTTTACAAAAAGGGAAGCATTGATTATTTGACAGCGAAATGCTTATATGAAATCATGCAACTAATCTCTCTTATCCATTTTGTTCGTTAGCATAAAAAATTTGTTTTGAGCAAAAGAGAAGGAACACTAATAAGGATAGTAGTTTCTTTTTTTGCCTCTAATTTGTATTGTACCTCAACAGAGTAGATAAAAAGCGAGAAAGGCAAGGATGTTGGGGAAACCGCGTGAACGTAATTAAGTGCGAGTATACATACCATAACTTATACTAACACCATATAATATAATAATACCGTTATTTTGTGGTGTAACCATAAAGCCAAGCAAAAACTTACCCATGACGTGGTGTTAGAGAGGCAAATGAAAAAGGGTACACTATACAATACAAGAAAGCAAAGCCTCAGTTTTGACAGTGTTCTAAACTACCCAAACGAAACGAAGTGCTTAATTCATTCTTATTCAACACTGGATTAGCCACCACGGCATGGCATTGGCAGAGATATAGCACAATTGTTACATTTCACTTTTTTTTTCACATAAATTTTCATCTTTCTGTTTTTTTATCTTTTTATTCTTTTAATATGATGTCATTATTCATGTCTTTTTTTTTTCTTATTATAACTCTCTTCCTTTTCACCCAAGCTACATCGAATGTATTGGTGTGAAGGTAGCACTTAGAAATCGGAAAACTGTTCAAACAAAACAAATGAAATGAGATTATTACATACCAACGCCACATTCACATTGTGATTTCGGTGTGTATTATTGCACTGAGTTTGTAGTTTTGTAACTGCAACTCCAACTTTTAATTTCAAGGGAATAAAAAAACACAAAGTTGGAAAAGGAAAGAAAATGTCGTAACTTAAAGGTGATGAATTTTTTGCTGTGGACCCTTATATTTTGTTTGAGCAATCACTCCTTGATTTTCTGTCTGATTTTGGCTGAAATTTTGTTACAATTCACATGTTATCTTAAGTGTTTCTATCCTTAACAAAGAATTTGACCCCAACAGGAATTCCAAGGCCAAAGAGTGTCTTTATGGTGTGAATTGTCATAGATATCATAGATAAGTTTTGACTGAACATTTTAATAAATAGTTAAATAGAAAAAATGTGGTGTAAACATAATTTTTAATTTGAAAATTTTAATTTTTAAATTTATTTTAATATAATTTATTAAAAAAACTAAATTATGTATTGACTCTACGATAAATTAAGATAACTAGACATAATAATTCAAAAAGCTGTTTGGAAGAACCGAAAATTTTTTAAATTACAAAAGTTTTATTTTTGCTCAAAAAGAATGAAAGGAAAGAAAATATCATAAAATTGCTCGAAATATATATTACCTTAATTAAGGTTCATTTTAGATTTTTTTTTTGTTTTGAAAGATAAATTGGAATTGACATTTGCTTCTTTTTTTTTTTTTTGAAAAATATGATGTTGAACTAATAGATTTTATGGCCTTGATTTTGAGTTGAAATTGGTATTTTGATGATTTTTTTTTCATATCATATCATGGTCATAATAAGATTTTAATTAAAAGTGACTTTTCAACAAGTTTCATGAATAAATTATAATAAAGAAAAAAATTCAGTTAAAAAGAATGTGACATTTCAAAATATTTTTTTACAAATTGGTATGGATAGTTTTTATAGGTTGAAAGTTGTAAAGTGTTAAAATAGATTATCAAATTTATGGAAAAATTATTTTTGATAGATGTGTTAATTTGGCCTCAAGTTCATAAGCTTCCTCACACAATTCATTCTACATGCACTTCCAGTTTTTTTAAGTCTCATACATATTGGACTTATTCTAACCCTAATCCCTAATACATAAACAAAATATGAGTTAAGATTAGAGTCGAAAGTGAGTTGGCCTACACTTTTATAAAATAAAAAATTATTACTCTCTTATCATGTTATATCTTTATTTAATTTTTATATCGTATCATATTTAACAAACGAATTGTAAACAGTTAATTAAAAGTTTAGGAGACCTACAAAATAAGTTGTTAGCACCGTACTGATAGTGAAAAACATTCAAATATATTGTATAAAGTTCAAACAATGTTTAAATCCCTATCTCTTTTTCCATTATTCCTACATATAGAGGCAACGCTGATTTTGGAAATTTCTTATTAACTTGACTGTAATTATGTTTAAACAAATATTAATTTCACGTGAGAACTCCCCTCGCTAGTTAAAAAATAACATAAGAACTCATTTCTTATGAATTCAAATAATTTGTACCGTTAAACGGTATTAAAATAATAACATGTTTTAATAAGAATAATGATTCTTATACTACTAAAAAAGCCTAAAATTTGTTATTTACATTTAAAAAATATATAAACAAAGTAAAAAATAAAGAATATATATATATAACATCACGTATAACATTAGTTTTTAATTGTTTATAATCTTACGATGGAACTCTTTTGACAGTGCATATTGTTGCTTCTTGCGGCGTCTTGTTACAGTGATTAGTGAACGAAACACCTTAACAATCGTGCGCATGTAAAACAATTAATTACTCATCGATAAAATTTGAGGAAGACGCCCACATATGCTCATCTTAGTTCGTGCTAATGTAAATGATGTTTTATCTATGTTTTGCCAAATTATTATGGACCATTAAAGTTTAATTTGAGTGAATTTCTGGATAAATTTTTATAAAAAAATTAATATAAAAATAAATATTTTTTTATAAATTAAATGTAAGTTATCTCTTCAAATTTAAATAATAAATAAATGATAGAATATTTTAAAATTTCTTAAAAAATAGAAAAATATAAATTATTTTTAACTTATAAAAAAATTATTATTTTTCTATAAAAATTTTCGAACCTAAATTATATTATGCCTTCGAAGATCTAAAAAGCTTAGCAGCATTTATCTTTCAACAAGAGAGGGAGATGATGGTTGCATTTAATTTTAAATTGATTTCTATCATGTTTGTGCAATTTTATATTTGTATAAGTTACCCATTAACTATACGTTTTTCTGTTAGGTTATTTGAGTGATATACAGGACAAAACAACAATCTCAAGAAGAGAGAAGCAAAAATACAAAAGAAAATGAAAGAGAAAACTGAGTGTAATATTCTGCCCCATAATCTTATCATTCTTCTTAAAATGAGTTAATTTATCTATTAAATTATCTTCTATTATATATGAGAAATTATTTTCTTATACTAGTGTAAGTCTAAAAATTCTTACATTTAATCTGAGTCTTTCATTTAACTTAAATCTAATAGTCAGTGAAGTAATAAATTATAACCCGTTAGATTTAAGTTAAATGAAATGTTCAGATTAAGTGTAAGAGTTTTTATATTTACACTGGTATAAGAAAATCCTATCCCATTATATATATATATATATATATATATATATATATATATATATATATATATGTGTGTGTATTAAATTTTATATAATTTAGATATTTATAGGTATATTAATCAAAACTTAATATTTATTTATATTTTAAAAACATATTAAGTAATATAATAAAGTACTTAATAAGTTGATTTTATATAAAATTAGTTTATTTGATAATAATTTTATAAAGTATATTACTTTTATATTTAATATAAGTGTTTAAATTTAATAATTAGTTTGATACTTGTAAAGTGAGAAACCTAGTTTGAAATTGGTTAGTGGTAATTGGATGATATTATTGACGTTGATATTGTGAATGTTGAGTTTACATGACGAAGATGATTAATTTAAATGAGGGTTGGAAGGACAAGACTAGAAACGTGGTGAAGATGGCCTACAATACAACGAATGCCCTCTCATGCATCCATGGCATTCACTGCTGGCAATAGAACGAAGCTAGCTATGATCCTTTGCCTGTTTATATATATGGT